TCTTTTGTTTGTTGGCAAGCATCACACTATAACAAAAGTAATCCTTTTGTTAAAGAAATATTGATGGAGGGATGAACTATGATTTAGATAGGTATTCTAACGTTAGATTTGTAGTAGTCATAAGCAGCTCTCCAGAATCTGATGGTCCCAAAAAAGTCTTCAGAACATCAGCAATAAAAACCAGAGGTAAGAACACCATAAATGTAGCTGAAAGTCAAGTTAATTTTTATTAATTGCAGCAATTACAACACGTAACTAGTGCATTTCAAGGGCTTCACTGATTCCCCTCATCATGCTTGTAGAGGAAGGTAACTGGACCAAGAGCAAGTTATCTTATTTTTGCACTTGTGTTTAAAATCTTGTTCAGGTCATGGTCTCGTGATGCTATAGGAGGGTGATCAGCGAAGGCCCCTGAAATGCTCTAGATACGTTTTGTGACTGTTGTGATCCATAAAAAATTAACTGGACTTTTAACTGAATTTATGGAGCTCTCCTCTCTACACTGTACTTATTACAAAATTTCAAACATAGAAAAGTGGAAGAAGAAATAAAAAAAACAAGTAGTCCAACAAATCTACGAGTATAGATTATAGAGTATAGATCTATGTTTGTCCCAAGTATGTTTGAAAACACTTACTGTTGACTGACCTGCTACCTCTGCTGGAAGTCTTCTACCTTTTTGGCAAAATAATACTTTCTAAGATTAGTTTTGAGCTTTCCTCCTGCTATTCTGAGGTCATGTCCTTGTGTTCTTGATCTTGGCTTCATACTGAAAATGCTTCCCTTCTGAAACTTAGCCACCTCTTGATGTATTTAAAGGAGTCAGTTACAGTATGTCTCCCCTTTCCCTTCTTTCCTCCAGACTGTACATATTAAGTTCCTGAAGTCTCTCCTACTATGTTTTATCCCTCAGACCTTTCACTGTTTCTCTGTTATCAATCTGATGTCTCCAGAACTGGACACAGTATTCTAAATGAGGTCTAATTAAAGATCTCCTGTATATAGAGGAATCAGGACTCCTTCCTCCTGCTGGTGTTTAACTGGTTCTTTGTCAGAGATGGGCTTGATTTGCTTCTTTAGGCCTCAATATGTTTAGAACAATTTTTTATTTCTAGTTATGTGTACATCAAAAAGAAAATGCAGGTAAATAGATAATTATGTTTTTGTTGGTGTATTCTATGTTTTGCCTACTGTATTAATTTAACTGTGCTTTCCAGATGTAGTATCCTTAACTCTTTACCTTGGGTATTACATAGTCCCGGAATAATACATCTTCTGTTGTGCAGTGTGGCAGTCCAGTTGGGACAATATCACCAAATCGTTGGATCTCATGGATTACAGCCTCAGTGTAAGGCATCTTAATTCGGTCTTCAGCTGACGGACAACATTGACCTATTACTTGATCGATCTCCTTCTGAACCTTAACTGAAGGATAAATATTAGAATAATTTTACCAATTTTAAGAGTAATTCCAAGTAGTAGTAAGTGTACCTATAGGCATGGTAGATTTTTGATGTTTCTCACTGAGCACCCCCCTTCTTTGACAAAGAAAGAAAGATTGGCTATTGATTGGACATATCTGTAATTCTTTATAACAGGTCTATGGTCCATTTTAGCTTTCAGAGACAGATGTATTGAACTGGAACAGCTACATTTCATTCTAGGGTAACACTGCACCTGCCCAGGGTGCCCCTCAGGGAGTGTTGTCACCCTAGGACAGGATGTTACGGTGGAACTTCACTCTCTCAGTCAACACTGACTATTTGTAATCCTTATGCTGCTACCATTAGTAAATAGATAGGAAAGTATATTATATTTACTTGTTTTAAACTGTTACTTCCTAGTTTCCATGCCTAGGCAAATTATGTCACACATCCCAGAAGTCTTCAGGAAGGAAGGAAGGAGGAGGGGTTTTATGAACTAAGCACACCCTCCTGCCTGCATGCCTGAACTATGGGCAGATGGATTCCAGGAAGTACATGCTACATGAATCATCTGCCCATAGCCAAGATGGCCACAGCCAGAATTGCTAGGGGGCTGTTTTTCAGCAAAATAAAGCATGGAATCATGGATGGATGGGGGGGGGGGTTTGCTTTGAATATTAAAAACAAATTAAATAGCGCTTTTGATTTGTGGAACTCAGATGCAGTGTAGTTCCCCTTTAAGAAACTGGAAAATTGACAAATGTAAATTGAAGAAAAAAAAAAAAGAATAAAAGAATGACATTGCCAGAACAAGTGGAGGGTAAGCTTCTACTTCATGTTTGTTAAATTTAGGGTCAAGTACACACTATTTTTTTTTAATTTGAATTTCTACCTTGAATTTCTGGATATTTCAACAGGATGAGAAAGCCGTAGCGAAGAGTTGTGCTGACAGTTTCTGTCCCAGCAGTAAATAAGTTTATTGTTGAAGCCACAAGATTCTCCGTATGAAATTCTGTGTCTTGAATTTCCTTATTCTGCAAGAAAATACAATGATATTATTTACTAAAACACCTAATTTCATTATTTTTCTCTCTTCCCTTCTTGAGAGTTATGTATTTGTAGCACTACCCTTGCAAGGGCCTCTGGATTTGATTGGGTCCCCCTAAGCCCTGCACTGCCAGGCACCGTGCATTTTACACACCCATTCCTTGAGCTGGGTTTTTAGTTGTTTTTATTAAGGGGTTAACAACTTGGATGGGGTCTAGAGGTATATGGGATGCTCAAGGAACTGTAGAAGGTGAGGACAAACTTCTTACAAAAAGGGTGACCGGGAAAAAATAAAGCACTGTTCCGTTTTCAGTGTATCTCCCCATACCATCAATGAATCCTCCTCTTCACCCAACCATGCTGAGGGTATCCTTGAGCAAGGGGGGTCCCAAGAGCTTACAGTTAAGCAGTCACAGGTGAAGACTAGTTGGGTATTGCATCCGACCGTCCTCTCCCCTTATCCGGCTCAGGGGGGGTGTAGGAGTACTCACACTATTCTGTCAGTGTGGTGGGTTAGTAGCTGCTTTAAGGCCTTTTGCTGGACTGGCTCCTTCCCTGCTGCTCAGGATATCCTCCAAAGGGAGATCCTGATGTCCAACAACCAGCCTGTAGGTAGACTCCCCTCCCTGGGGCCCCCTCCCAGGCTCCACCCTTCCGCTCAGTCCATCTTCCACCTGACTCCCCACAATTCCCAGGCTCTGTTATATTTGAGGGTTGCCCTGGTCAGCATGCCCTGCTTCCTTGACCAAGGTCCCTCAAACATGCAGATCTGCCCCCCCCCCCACCCCCACCCCCTGTTCCAGAAAGTTTTCGAGTTTTTGGAAAGGTGGGAGGGCTCAAGAATCCCTGTCCTGTAGAACCTCCCATCCTGTCCTGAGGTGAACTCCTGCCTCACTCCCAGGCTGACTCATCCCAGGCTGCTACTCAGCCTCTATAAAAAATTAAAACAATAAAACCTATCTAGCTAACCTGGAGGGTGTTGCATATTTATTTCCATCTCAATATAGTACTTTATGTTTAGAAAACAAGACCAAAATATCTTATTGCCGTTGAGCCTACTGTCTCCCTTACCTGTTGTATCTTCTTCAGAAAACAGTCAATAAAGTGGCGGGGGGAATCGGGGTCCAGGGTCTTTAGACTCTCTTCCACCATCTCATGAACAAATGCTTTAAGCTCATATAGATATCTCACCCCCTGCTGAGGAGGTCCTGGAACATAGCGGATGAGCCGCTCAAAGTTGTAAACAACCTAAAATATAAGTAGAATGTTTATTTACCAAACAAATTCAATATTCCATATATACAGTATTTAAAGGCTGTATCAAGTAGGAGAAAGACAACTGCTAATTAATTTTCAATACAGGTAAAGTCCAAGTGCACTCATTCTACAATACATACCTAAATCAGCTGTAGCTTCTTGTATTCAAGGTTCATGAGGTTTTAATAAAACTTTAGATTATAAGCTCCATGAGCAGGGCCCTCCTATTCCTTCTGTATTGAACTGTATTGTAACTGTACTGTCCCCCCTTTACTGTATATTGTAAAGTACTCCACAAACTGTTGGCGCTAAAAAAATCCTGTATAATAATAATATTGTCACAAGGTACAATACCTGTCAGAAGCTCCCATTATCTGACTCTTGAGCTGCCCATTAACTGGTCACAGTGAAGCTGGAGAGGGTCAGCATCACTGCCCAGGAACTAATATGATAATTGTGGGACAAAAGGCGACAAGAGGATTTTACCATAATAGATTTCCAAAAAAGAATTTGTAATGCTGTCTGGCTTCTCTAGGCCACTGATTCCTGTTACACGGGTTGTCACATTTCAGCAGTTTGGCACCATACACCAGGCTATTACTGCTCTGCACCAGTGCCTATACATTAGATTTGGGGCTGATATTGCTACTTTAAAAGGAACGGGTAAGTGTTAGGAATCATCACTAAAGTTTAGATTAGGAGTTTAAAGTGAATCTGTGCCCACATTTATGTATTTGCACATTCTGATTCTAAACAAGCAGTAAAAGAACTTTAAAACAAATCCCCATTTGCTCAGTAGCTATAGGCATTGTGGAAAAATGCATTTTCAAATGTCACAAAAAAGGCTCTGACGTTTTAGCAATTTTTTTCTATGAAGAGCAAACATACAGAGCATACTTCTAAGCTGTTAGGAAAAACAATATTTGCACCAAAATTTACCGTATTTTCTGGCGTATAAGACGACCTTTTTTTACTTAAAAACATACCCCAACAATTGGGGGTCGTCTTATACGCCGGGTATAGAACGCTGGATGTGCGGTAATACTGTATGGTAGCTTCAGCTACATACAGTGTACCGGGCTGAGCCAATCACGGCGAGCAATGTATTCTATTAATGAATACAGAGCCTGCTCGGATTGGCTGAAGTTGTGACATCATCAGCCCGCCTCTCTGACACAACCAATCTGAGCAGGCTCTGTATTCATTAATAGAATACATCACTTGCCATGATTGGCTCATATGACGTCCTCCCATTCTCCGCGCATGCGCGGCGATGCGCTGTGTCCCTCGGACACAGTGTTCACCGATCACGGAAGGAGCCGAAGATGTCCGCTCGGTCATGTGATCAGCTGTGTCTAATCACAGCTGATCACATGTAAACAGGGAAATGCCGGTTATCGGCATTTCTCTCCTCTCGAGCTGTCACCTGACAGAGGAGAGGAGGGGACATGTACACTGATCAGGCACTGATGATCAGTGTAGCCCCAGCAGTGCCAGCTGTCAGTGTCCATCAGTGCCACATCAATGCCATATATCAGTGCCTACCAGTGCACATCAATGCCACATATCAGTGCCCATCTGAGCTGCCTTTCAGTGTCACCCATCAGTGCCAGTCAGTGCCACCTATCAGTGCTGCCAATCAGTGCCACTTATTAGTGCCAGTCAGTGCCGCCAATCAGTGCCCATCAGTGATGCCTGTCAATGCCCATCAGTGCTGCCAATCAGTGCCAGTCAGTGCCGCCTATCAGTGCGCATCAGTGCCGCCTATCAGTGCGCATCAGTGCCGCCTATCAGTGCGCATCAGTGCCGCCTATCAGTGCGCATCAGTGCCAGTCAGTGCCACCTAACAGTGCTAGTCAGTGCCACCTAACAGTGCCAGTCAGTGCCACCTATCAGTGCCGCCTATCAATGCCGCCTATCAATGCCATGTATCAGTGCTGCCTTTCAGTGCCCATCAGTGATGCCTGTCAATGCCCATCAGTGCCACCTACCAGTGCCTCCTCATCAGTGCCCATCAGTGCCACCTATTTCATATGGGTACAGTGTTGCATGACCGCGCAATTGTCATTCAAAGTGTGACAGCGCTGAAAGCTGAAAAGTGGCCTGGGGGGGAAGTGGGTGTAAGTGCCCTGTAGGCTAGGGGTTAAATAGTGTTGCCTCAGAAGGGGGGTAGTCTTATACGGCGAGTATAGCCCAAAACCTATGTTTTAACTGGAAAATTAGGGGGTCGTCTTATACACCCAGGCGCCTTATACGCCGGAAAATACGGGTACGTTTTCTGGACAGGCTATCTGGGTTTTTCCTTCTCAGTCCAAGAAGTACCAGCTTGTCCTGAGAATTTAACTGTTAGTGCCAAAAAATGAATTATCAAAGACTGTACTCTGTTTTGATGCAAGTAAACTAATACGACCGCAGGGGTATTAAACCCAAAACCAAAAATGTAATATATACTGCAGCTTACTAATCCTCAAATGCTGTAGCTGCATCTGTTTTCTTTTTTTAGGCTTTTTTCCCTCTGTTTTCACCTGGTGATCCAGCCAGTAACACGGTTCCTGTATTGAGTACATACACTCTGGCTTTAGACAGCAGCATTGTCATTGTGGAGAGAGGGGAATGTTGGATGCATTAGCAGATTTAAATACACTAACAAACTAAAGTAAAATTCCAATTCACGCTTTTTAAGCATTTAAAACAACATTTTTTTTCATTTATGAATAAAGGATTTACATTTAAAAAGCTGACCATTGTTAGCACCACTGTCAGTTGTAAGTAGTTTGCATCTACCCTCTAACTGCTACATCTGCAGCACAGCTTGTTCTGTTGAAAAACAACAGACTTACTGGAAGGATCACCAGGTGAAAGTGAAAAAGTAAAGAAAAAAAATAATACAGCCAGCACATTTTAAGAGTTAGTAAGCTGCAATATATTTAATGTTTGTTTTTGGGTTTAATATCGCTTTAAGCTGTTGGAACAGACTGAAAAATAACTTCAAAGTTTTTGCTGTGACCTTTGAGAATACTCTACAGTACAAGCAGCTAGATAGATGAGGGATGGCGTATTTAAAAGCTCTTTTACTACATGTTAATAATACGTAAATACTGTAATGTCCATAGTCGGGGCACAGATGCACTTTAATTGGGAGAGTTTAAAGTGGTTGTAAAGGCTCAAGGTGTTTTTTACCTTCATGCATTCTGTGTGCAGCAGCCCCCCCCAGCCCACCTAATACTTACCTGAGCCTGATCCCAATCCAGCAATGTGCACGAGATCAGGGACTCTCCGAGGTCTCTCCCTCCTCATTGACTGGGACAGAAGCAGAAGCCATTGGTTCCCGTTACTGTCAATCACAGTCAGTAAGCCAATGAGGTGAGAGTTGGGGCAGGGCTGAGCCACGCTTTGTGTCTCAATGGACAGTAGGAACAACTGTTCGGGAACAAGCCTGCTCAGGGGCCCCAATAGCAAGCAGCTAGGCAGTAGGGAGGGGCCAGGAGCGCCATCGGGGGACCTGAGAATAGGAGGGTCGAGGCTGCTCAGTGTAAAACCACTGCACAAAGCAGGTAAGTATAACATGTTTGTTATTTTTAAAAATATGCCTTTAATATCACTTTAAAGAAAATCAGTTGTTTCAACACAAAAACTGAAATAGTGCAACCCCAAGAAAGATGCCCATTGGACAATATGTCAGGTCTTCTGACAAGCCTAACCCACCTCTGCTACCCAACAATTTTAGGTGTGTGTCCCTCCGGGAGCTGAGGGTTCCTCTTGCCAATCTTGCATCACTATTATGCCCCGGAGTAACCTAGAGTCCTTTGCTTTCCAAGGTAAATGGTTTAAAAAGTTTTATCTGCTTCACACAGATTCATTTTACGTCAGTGAAAGTTGACTTTGTTTGTCCCGACTATAAATGACTGACCACATCTGAACTGTGGGATCAGATAACTTGCTATCAGATAATAAATGAGGTTAAAATATCTCACTTGTTTACTTACCAAGCCCCAAGCAGAGTTCATAAGGCGGATGATCCCATTAATATTACGAAGAAGCGATAAGAAACGTTTATCGTTATAATCAAAACGCCTCCCAAATATGATGGAGCAGATGATGTTAGATACAGCACAGCTTAGCAAGAACGTTGGGTCAAATGGTTCTCCTATAAACAATATCAACATATAATATGTAAGTGGAAATCTCATTAATAGCATTAGAAACATTTTTTATTTTTTTTTATATCCAATATATTTATTTTATAATATAATTCACAATTTAGCTAGAAAGGTTTGGAATGCATTAATGAGAACCAACCTTTGCTTCTCCAAATGAAAAGTTCCTTCTCCCACTCCTGTTTCATCATAATACACTGCTCAAAAAAATTCAAGGAACACTTTGAAAACACATCAGATCTCAATGGGGAAAAATATGCTGGATATCTATACTGATATGGACGGGGTAATATGTTAGGAATGTAAGGATGCCCCATCATTTGATGGAAATGAAAATGATCAACCTACAGAGGACTGAATTCAAAGACACCCCGAAAATCAAAGTGAAAAAAATGATGCAGCAGGCTAGTCCGTTTTGCTGAAATGTCATTACAGCAAATCAAAATAGTACTCAGTAGTTTGTATGGCCCCCACGTGTGCTTGTATGCATGCCTGACAACATCGGGGCATACTCCTAATGAGATGATGGATGGTGTCCTGGGGTATTTCCTCCCAGATCTGAGTCGGATGGACCAAAACATAATATCCCAGAGGTGTTCTATTGGATTTAGGTCAGGCGAGTGTGGGGGCTATTCAATGGTATCAATTCCTTCATCCTCCAGGAACTGCCTGCATACTCTCGCCACATGAGGCCGGGCATTGTAGTGCACCAGGTGGAACCCAGGACCCACTGCACCAGCGTAGGGTCTGACAATGGGCAGTCAGGGTGCCATTGCCCAGCCTGTACAGGTCTGTGGATCCTGTCATGTATATGCCTCCCCAGACCATCACTGACCCACCAACAAAACGGTCATGCTAAACGATGTTACAGGAATCATAACATTCTCCACGGCTTCTCCAGACTCTTTCATGTCTGTCACATGTGCTCAGAGTGAACCTGCTCTCTCTGTGAAAAGCACAGGGCGCCAGTGGTGGACCTGCCAATTCTAATGTTCAATGGCAAATGCCAATCAAGCGCCATGGTGCTGGGCAGTGAGCATAGGGCCCACTAGAGGACGTCGGGCCCTCAAGCCACCCTTATGAAGTCTGTTTCTGATTGTTTGGTCAGAGACATTCACACCAGTGTCCTGCTGGAAGTCATTTTGTAGGGCTCTGGCAGTGCTCATCCTGTTTCTCCTTGCAGAAAGAAGATAACAGTCCTGCTGATGGGTTAAGGACCCTCTACAGCAATGGCCAGTTCTCCTAGAATAACTGCCTGTCTCCTGGAATCTCCTCCATGCTCTTGAGACTGTGCTGGGAGACACAGCAAACCTTATGGCAATGGCACGTATTGATGTGCCATCCTGAAGGAGTTGGACTGCCTGTGTAACCTCTGTAGGGTCCAGGTATCGCCTCATGCTACCAGTAGTGACACTGACCATAGCCAAATGCAAAACTAGTGAAAAACAGAAAAGATGAGTAGGGAAAAAAATGTCAGTGACCTCCACCTGTAAAACCATTCCTGTTTTGGGGGTCGTCTCATTGTTGCCCATCTAGTGCACCTGTTGTTAATTTAATTAACACCAAAGCAGCTGAAACTGATTAACAACCCCCTCTGCTACTTAAATGAACAGATCAATATCCCAGGAGTTTAATTGACTTGATGCTACACTCTGATTAAAAAGTGTTCCTTTCATTTTTTTGAGCAGTGTATATCACATTTAAGTCTTTAGGCTTGAAGAAGAGGAGAAACTTGAAACAGGTTGACTATTTTGTACTCAAACCTTTACTAATAAACTCCAGTATTTAAAGCTGAACTCTGGGATTTTTTTTTTCTGCTGTAAATAAATTACCTGTAATGATAGGCGCCCCATCACTGGCTGCTGCTGTGTTCAGTAAAGTTCTTAGGGCTCATTCACATTTGCAGTGACCTCTGAAGAGTGATCCTTGTTGGTCATCTCTTCCTTGTGTTGCCGTCTCACTGCCTGATTTAACCCTGTAAATGCTGCAATACTGCACCACATTTGTGTGTGATTGAAGGGCAGTTGCAGTGCAGCCCAAGAGACTTGCATTGTTCATGTTTAAGGGTGGAAACGCTCACTGAGTGTGAAGTGCTGTTTATTTTTTGCCACAGCAACGAAACACAGCATTGTGACCATGGCATATGTATAGCCCTGAGCAATGGCATGCCCAGGTTCAGGCTGACTGCTGGGGGAGCGGGGGTATGGGGCGGTAAAACCGCATCTCAACTGTCTGGTTTTACCGAGAAGCCGAAAGTGTGCATGAAGTCCTACTTTCATTCAGCAGATTCCAGTGTAACTACTAAACTTCCCAGAATCTTACAGTCTCGGCTCTACAACACTGACTGCAGTGCATTTCTCGTTGTACAACTTCTTCAGTCACAAAATGTCTTGCATATATTTCACAAAATAAACATTTTTGTGAATGGAGGAGAGAAGATTGGACCATAATAATTGTGCCATTGTACCATAAGAATGCAAGACATTTTATGAATGGATGAGGTGTACAGCGAGCAAACTTACTATGATCAGTGA